TTATAAATTTTATTGAAATACTTTACATTTTTTTTATCTCAGACCTTAAAATAACGTTACAGAAGATAATTTTATTGTTATTCAAAAAAAATAAGATAATTTTATTAATTCAATTTTTATTTTATATACAATATGAGATTCGTTAAACCCATTCCGAAAATTCGGTTCCTTTCATACAGATAAAGCGCAATTTTTTTTTCGGGTAAACTTAAAGTGCACTTTTAGCGCTTCCATGTGTGTCGTGTGAGAACATATGCACACACATAAAAGCACGCAATGCCCTCAACGCTGGATTCACATTTTAGACACAAAATCACCCTCACCTCATTTTCAGTTTTCGGTCTCTATTTCTCATTATTAATTATAGATTTGACTAGTTTTATGAACAAATTAAAGGGATAGGATATTATTATTATCAATTAATGTTATTATCAGTTTGTTTTACCGTTAGATTGATTATGTTGATCTAACGATTATATTTATTTACATCTTTGTATAGTTATGATTCTCCATATTTAATGTGAAAGTATTAAGGTTTTAATGTTTCTAAAGTGAACGTAGATAAGTTATCTACATTTACTCCCAAAACAACGTTGTTTTGGGGTAAAAAATTAAAAAATTATAATAAAAAGACTATGATAATCCTGAAATAAATTATAATTACAAAAATACCTTGATTTTTCGCTTCAAAACGATATCCTTTTGGGCTCAATGTAGATACGTTATCTACATTGACTGTAGAAAAAGTGAACCCAAATATTAAATATAAGGAATCATAACCATATAAATGTGGAAATAAAATATAAAGTATTAAATATACAAAATCATAACCATATGAATATAGAAATAAATATAACTGTTGGATCAACGTAATCGATCTAACGGTGAAATAAATTGATAATGGCATTAATAATAAGGAAAAATATTTCTGCAGTTAATGCAGATAAATTATCTGCATTTATTCCTAAAACGACATCGTTTTGGTATTGAAATCTTGAAAAATTATAAATATAAAACTATTATAACCTTGAAATAAATTAAAATTACAAAAATACCATAATTTCTGCCCAAAACGACGTCGTATTGAGTTTATTGCACATAACTTATCTGCAGTAACTGAACGACCCTTAATAATAATATTAATTGATAAAACAATACCCTATCTCCAAATTAAATTACAGATACCTATCTCTCATATGATATGTATGAATCATTTTTCATTGTGCAAAAAACCACTTGCAAAAATAGAGGCCAAGTTCGTGTGGTCTTAATTCATAAAATAATAGAACAACCTATGATTTTGTGCTTGATTCCCCCGCGTGTGAAGTGGCTGCTAAGTTTTAGATGATTGAGTCCAGTTTGCAGTTTACACCATCATCAATTGAAAAGTGTACCCCCTCACGCTCTGCAATTTTTCCATTAAAAGTTGCACAAAGAAACAAAAATCCAATCTTCTTATATTACACAACGTGTCAAACTTGGATAAACTTTTCACTACACCATCACCTGTCACTCAGAACCTTGTTTAACAGCCATTATTAACTTTGTTCTGTGCCATTCCCAGACTTCAAGGCAGCGTCACAATTCACTCAGTGCAGGTAGCAAAGTTTTAATTTCTTACCTAGTCATTTTTTTTTTCTCTCGGGAAAGTGAAGAAGGTGACAGAGGAAAAAGTAATAAAGCGAGAGTGTGCATTTGGCAGCTAGTAGCGTAATAGGTTAGGTCGTTTAGGCTATGCAGTATAAAAAGCACATAAAGGAAAGAAAAATTGGTGGGTACTATATATACTGTTCATGGGCTTTAGTGCCTGTTTGGATTTTTTTTTAAGCTAGAAATTACTTATAAGCATAAGTTAGGCCAAACAGGTTTTGGAAAAAGTTCTTATAATGAAAAGCTCTTTTTTCTATAATGAAGAAAAAAGCTGAAAATTAAAAGCTCCTAGGAGGAGCTTTTTTAAAAGCTCTTGTCTGTTTTTCTTGAATTGTGTGTTTTTTTTTTAATGAAGAGTGATAAAGATAGAGAGAGAGATAATTTTCTTGAAATATGTGCTTTTAAGTAAATTTTAAGCTAAAATTTTCATGTAATTTCCAAATAGCTTTTAGCTTCTTTTTTTTTGCTCTTTTTTTTAGCTTTAGCTTATAAGTAGCTTCTAGCTTAAAAATAAGAGGATCCAAATAGGCTCTTAGTACTCTCCTTTTCTGCTTTTTCTTATTTCGATTTTTGCATTTTTAGCGGTGAGATTAATTCATTTTCTCTTTATTACATAATATAGTTATTTTCTATAAAAAAGAGAGTAATATTTTCATTGTTTATTTTATAGTAATAAGACACACCATATCATCTCATATTATTTTTTAAGTTTTTAAAATTTTATTGTACGAATTAATATATTATTAATTATGAAGAAATTATATAATAAAATTATCACAAAATCATAAATAACGTAAATATTGAATAGGTATGATAAAATTTTAATTTTTATGTAACGAGTGAACGAGGTTTTAAAAAAATAAGAAGGAAAACGGAAAAAATTTCTTCTGAATTCGAATTTAATTTGTAAAATACAATTTTGATTTGAAAAAAAAATTCATCTGATAAAATCTCACATAATACTTTTCTTTTTTTAATGCAAAAATCTTGGAAAGTTCAATTGTATTTCATTTTGTTTAATTTGAAAAGTTTGATTCTATTAAAAAGGTTTAATATGTATAAAAAAAAAAGGTTTAATTATTCTTTTGTATTTTTTATTTTGTTGGGAATTAGTAATTTGGGCTTAAAGTTAAGTCGGGATGAATACAAAACCTATCGTTAGAGAAGAAAATTGGAGAGCAGTTATGTAATGATAACTAGGGTCTAAATCTATATGTTGATCTGGGTGATATTTACATATGAGTAGGATTTATTATATTCTTATATTTGGATTGAGTTTGACTGATATTGTAACTCTTGTAAAACCCAGCCCGAATCGGAACTCGGTAAATCGGTTTTCAGACCGATTCAAGTTAAGTATTGGACTCGGTCAAAACCCGGCCAAATCTGGTGACCCGGCGATCCGGTGACCCGGTCGAGTCATGCATTTAAAAAAAAAACCAAAATTGTTTCATCTTATAAAAAAATATATAACTCATTTTAAAAAAATTTGTAATTTTATTTGTTAGTATACTCTTCTACAATGACCTCTTAGTTTCTAATACTGAAACAATTTGTGGAATAATAAATTAGAAAATGTTACATATGTCATTTTAATGTAGTTAAATTTAAAGAATATGAGTTCAATGTCATTAAGAGATATGTTTATGAAAATTCTGATTTGCAATTTAAATTGACATAGTAATAGCATGCACTTTTATTTATTTATGCTTCATGTTTTTTAGCTTATTTAGTTAACCTTGTTTAATTCATTTTAGATATGAAGAATATAATTAAATTTATTTGTTCATATTTATATATATTATTTTATATATCTATACATTTCCGGGTCAACCGGTTCGACCGGTGATCTACTAGTCGAACCAGTGATCCAGTACCCCAACCGGGTCGATGCCCGAGTCGAGTTTAACAACGCTGGATATTGCAGTTCATTTGTCTCGCAATTAAACAGAGATATTCAAATTAGGGTTAGATTTTTTTTTCATCCTTTTAGAGTTTTTAACACTTAAACACACTGAATTATTTCTTTGCGTTATTCTTGCTCATAATTAATATCTTTTAAATTATATTAATTTAATTGAAAAATTTTATTAACCTTTGAAAGGAATGACAATAACTAGCGTGAAAGTAAGATTTTATATAAGGTTTAAAGGATTTTTTTTTAATGAAAATTAGTTAACATTTATTTAGTAATTAAGTTATAAAAATTGGTACGAATTGTTATTGAAAAATAATCCAAATATGTTTTAATTGTCAACATTTAAATACTTAAGAGTTTTATTTCTTATTTTTGAAAATATAGGGTAAGGGATGAAGCGAGGTGGGGGAGACTGACAAGTGACCGGCTGCAGGCAGTTGTCGGAATGAGGGCCGGCTGGACCGCAGGAAGGTGGAAAAGGCGGGCGCACGCGAGGTGACTGGGGACCGGAACAGAAGGTCAACAGCTCCCACACTGCACCGCGCCTGGGGACACGTAGTACACTATAATGGTCCGGTTGATACCCCACATTCACCTCGATAACCTCCCCTTAATCAGCACGCCTTCCCTCCTCATTCACCATTTTTACTATTTCTTTCTTTAATTAATTTCCCTCCTCGATGAGAAGTGAAATACATGCAAATGAGATGTTACCTTTAATTAAGTAGTACTATTAATTAAAAAGGTAGGTTATATTTATAAATTCGTACAGTAAAAAATTACTTTAATTCAAAACTTTAAGATAATGGGTAATAGATTTTTTAGTGATTTATATTATTCTTTAACACATCCCTCACACAAGAGTCCTTTGAACTTGAAATGTGAATATTGCACAGGCTCAATATTTTTTGTTTTACTTTGTGCTTATTTTAATTTCACTCGAAAGTGAAGGACAGTGAGGATCGAACTCGTGACCTTATGATTATTGAAGCTCTAATATCATGTAAAGAATCACTTCAACTTAAAAACTTAAAGTGTTAGGTCAAAACCTTTTTAAAGATTTATATTATTCTCTAACACTTATAAACTTAATTGTATACTCAAGATAGTACATGAATTGATTTATATACTACGCCGCCGAGTACATAATAATTAAGTTTATAAACAACAAGTTTATAAATATATATTTTCTCTTCTTTAAATGAATTAAATAATTTGCACTAAGTACAAATTTGATGGAAAGAAAAGAAAAATAATGGGGTCCTTAATTTGCCGAAGGCTTTAAATACTAGCGGCATTCCCGCGACAGGAATAGAAGCTGGAACACAAAACCCAAATAAAAGAGAGTAAAAAGAAACAAAACTTGTCGGTGTGTGAGTATAGTGCTTTGATTCACACTTCATTTGTTGAGTGATTCATCAGTTAAGCCAAAACGGGTCTCCCTCTGTGGATGCTTGGTTTGGGTGCGGACCTCTTGTGGGCCGACATGAACCGCCTCCTCGCCTTCCTATTCCACCAGGTACGTGCGTATACCTTAATATCGTTAAATTCTGTTATCGCAGACAAACTTACTTTTTACGTAAATATATATGTATGGGATAATTCATATATATATTTGTGGTGATTTCATGCAGGGAGTGTTGGATGAACAATTTTTACAGCTTCAACAGCTGCAAGATGAAACCTCCCCCAACTTCGTTTCTGAGGTTGTCAACATTTATTTCCATGAGTCCGAGAAGCTACTTAGGAATCTCAGAGGATTACTGTAATTAATCTTTCTTGCCTTTTTTTTTTTTTTTTTCCTTCTTGAGTTTGCATTATGACTTACGTTGTTTTAGTTATGACATATGAGCTATGTAATATAATACTATGATATGTTATGTTATTATGAATGTGAGTTAATAATTAATGGGGTTAAAGAAGGGTTGAGTTTGGTTAATAATTGATGTTATGATTGCAGAATGGAGAAGGAGTTATCGGACTACAGGAAAATGGGAATTCATTTGAATCAGTTTATGGGTAGCAGCTCAAGCATTGGTGCCAAGAGAGTCACACACGTCTGCATTGCCTTTCGTGCCGCTACTGAACAGAGCAACCGTGCTGGGTGGGTTCCTATTCCCTAACTCCTTCGAAATTCGTGCACTCTTTTTCTCAACCCAACAACTGAAAAAAATACAACTTGCTTTTTCCTCCTGAAAAGCTGAAACCCTCCACGGTCACCCTTTTCCGTTCCCCCTCTTTCCTAAACATTTATAAACTTTATTCATTCATTATACTTAATCCTTATTATATTCTCAACCTCGTAATATTACAATAATACAAATTTATCCCAAAAGTCTAAGGTGAGTTTTTTTTATTATGATTTATATTATTTAAATGAAAGAGGCTCGTGAATTAATGATCGCTGAAACTCTGATATCATATAATCAAAAAATTTAGCAGTTGAGTAAGAGTTTTTTTAATGGTTTATAATATTCCTTAACATATCTCACAAAAATAATCTTGTACGTGCCCAATTGCAGATGCTTGCGAGCCTTGGAGATGCTGGAGCATGAATATTGCTATCTAAAGAACAAATTTCACGAACTATTCCAGGTAAAGTTGCATTCACTACATCATTAATTATTATGATTAAGACATTAATACGAATTTACGATATCCTATAATAATTATATGGTTATGTGCAGATAGAGCAGCAACGTGCTTTGGCAACAGGAGTGAGATATCCCGTGCAGAATCAATAAAGCAAATGAAATGGTGGAATAAATATCTCGAGGACTAGTTTTTTTTTTTTTTTTTGTTTTTTTTCCTTTTACTTCTTTGAGGCTTTGTAAGGCTAAGGGCACGCGCGTCTTTCCAGTTTTAGACACAAACCAAGCTATATAAAACAATGAGGTTCTGTACTTGGTTGAGTAGGGAATAGAAAGAAAAAAAAAAGGGATGATCGCCACCTTTGGTACTTTGATTTCTCCTGTAAATAGTGGCATCATGCTCTTTTGCAGCATGCTTTGCTGTGAGCCGTTTAACTTTTGGAATGAAAATTGATCGAATTTAGTGAAATTCAGTTACTAGTTCTTTCTTAACTGTTCATTTAGATTATTCTATGTTGGAAAGAGCGAAAATTATAAAGAATCAAATCAACCCATAAATTTAAATTATTAAACTTTTTTAATAGTTTATATTATTATTTTGTAACACATCTTATTATACAGGAGCCCTTTGAACTTGAAACGTAGATATTGTACAAGTTCAATTTTGATTTATCTTGTCATTATTTATTTCCACTTGAATGTAAGATGGTGAAAATTGAAATCGTGATCTTATGATCACTAAAATTATAATATTATGTAAAGAATCAATATTCAACCTAAAAACTTAATCTAGTGGATGATAGGTAAGCATTTTTTTTTAATGATTATATTATTCTTAAAAAAACAAAGGAATGAAAATGGATTATTACTCGGGAATAGAATTTCAAGTGATTAAAAACTGACATGTTGTTGGGTATAAAAAAGAAAGGAAATTATTGGTGGAATTTTTACTCGTTTTAGTAATTATTGGTCGGTAAAAAGGGTTAAAGTTGACTGCGCACGGCACATTTATTCAGAATTGAAACCAAGTGTAGCTGTTACCTATTCTCTTATTCATTCATTCTAATCACAGCTGAGCCGAAGGGTATGTTCTCGTTTTCAATGCTATATTCTGATGATAGGTAATAACCTGAGACAAATTATTCAGTGCACAGCTGCACAGAACACTATATATTTTAATTTAATTAGTTGAAGCATTTTTGGATTTTTGATGTTTTTAGTCAAATTGTTGGGGAATGTTCAACCATTGAAGCTAGAGCCAGAGCCTCCTGTCGTAGTCAAGAATGCAAAGCAAGGTTGCATCTTCATGGAAGGGGACACACAATAATGCGAGTGCCAAACTACCGCATCTAATGTACAATTAAAATACCACAATCACGGAACTTAGCAGACCACTTTAATTTCATTCTGATACGGGATATGCATCTCTTGCCTAGCACATGTACAATATAATTTAACTAAATGCATCAATAACAACATTTGAATTTTATAAATTTTTGCTGTTAAATATTTCTAATGAAATAAGATAGGTATATATATAGGAATATGTTATTCTATCTTTTTTTTATGTCTACCATATCTACCACTCTCTAATATTATTAGATCAAAATCTCAAATAATCTTTACAATTTCTCTCTCCTCTTGAGATTTCGATCTAATGACGTAGGAGACTAGTAATAAAGTAGGTATGAAAAAATAGATAGAATAACGTCGTTTTGGGGCAAAAATCATGGTGTTTTTGTAATTTTAATTTATTTCAGGGTTATTATAGTCTTTATAATTATAATTTTTTAATTTTTCAATCCCAAAACGACGTCGCTTTGAGAATAAATGCAGATAACTTATCTGCAGTAACTGCAGAAATATTTTTCTATATATATATATATATATATATATATATATATATATATATATCAATTTTTGTGCTTTTGTAATATGCTTAAACTGATGATACATATGGATTAAAAGGTGGAACCCACTAAGTTTTAAAAAAAATAGGAGGTGGCAATTTCGATGGTGTGTAGGAGAAAAATCTTCTCTCATATAACATAAGTAAAGATTAACCCGATATCGCAATCTATATATGTGTGTGTGTGCATGCGTGTGTGTGTTAATGTTAAGTTGAAAATAAAATTTTCTCCCATAAACAATTGTCTGTGTGTATGTGTGTGTGTGTGTCTATATATATATATATATATATATATATATATATATATATATATATATTTTGAGGCGGGACAATGTTAGACTAATATAAATTATATCTCAATCTTGATTGTTGATTCAATTATATATTGACTCTATTTCATTAGTTGTGTGACTTATTTAATATAAATAAAAAATAATTAGAGTTAAACATATAATTTGATCTATATCAGTGTTTTAAAAATCGGGTCAACCCGGGTATCGTTGACCTGGTGGGTTCCCCGGTTCTAGCGGCCATTTGGATTGGTTACGCAATCAACCTGGGTTGGATCGGTCCACTTGGCCAGGTCTCAGTGACCCGTCAAGTTATACGGAATCCAGTTTGGACCAGTCACTGATTATTAGAAAAAATGAGAGTTATGGAATAAACGATGGAAGTGTTTTGCTATGTAAGGTGGAAGGAGGAGAGTGGTGGACAAGAAGAGACCGCATCGATCTTTCATGGCTTTATCAACAACGTGAAGAAGCTTCAGAGGCGCGAAATCAACTCCATTCGTCATCGTGGCTTCCGCCTCACCAAAGTTCGGGAAAGGTTTTGCAACATCCGATTGCAGGTTGTTTATTTTCTAATTTTTCGTTCTGTCATTGATCATATAATAATGTTGTCTATATATTAAAGTGTTATTTATTTGGAACTAAGTGTCTAAGTTTCGTCCACCACTAGATTAACGTGTTTGTTCCTCGTGGGACCATACATACCCTTAGGTGGAACCATCGTTTAGTCTCGACTTACCTTCACGATTCTCTCACGCATTTTTGAAAATGCTAAAAGGCCTAACCTAAGCTAGCGAATTCAGAAATTAGAGGATTTGTGAATGCTACAAACTCTAATCCTAATCCATGAATGCTTCTCCAACTTACACAATTTGAAAGCCCCAAATTTCCTCAATATGCAACCAGTTTAAGTTGCAACTCAGTTCTCCCTTACTGCTATGATAGCAATAACAATGGAAGTGCTTTGCAGTTCTCGTCACTCTCACTCAAGAAGAATACATACAACGTTGCCAGTAACAAAATCTGCAATTGCTTCATGGCATCAATTATCACAGAGTAGAACTAGTGACAGTGGCGGAGCCAGCGTAGCAAATCAGCCCGAGCCAACAAAATTTAGTCTGGGCCACGGTTATTTAGCCACGCTAAAACGTGGCTAATGTTTTTAAAATAAGCCTGCAAACTAGCCACGTTTCTTTAGCCACGTTGAAACCGTGGCTAATTTTTAAAATTTAGCCTGGGCCAAAGCCCCTCCTTACCCCAACGTGGCTTCGCCACTGCCTAGTGACATATTGGCGAGTGCTCGACAAAATTTATTGCTTCTCAGCTTAGTCACAATCAAGAAAAGACCCAATAAATTGCACATGCATATCGAATTAATTTTTACTATAAGTAATATATTTATTTTTTTAATATGTGAACAATATATCCGGTTGAACTCAGTTGAACCAGTGACCCAATACTTCGACCGAGTCGATGACCTGTTCGAGTTTTAAAATATTAATCTATATATAACCTTTCATTTACTTTCAATATGCCTTTAGGAATTATTCAGGAAAAAGCATTAGGAATTGACTATGACTAAAACACTATACAACATATTTATGGGGTAGATTATGAACTCTTTATTTGGTAATTAGACATCAGCTATCAAGTAATACAGTATCTTTTTTTTTTAATTATGTATTATATATGGATTATATGGATATTTGAAAAATATTATAAATCATCAAGTATGATGACGGTGTCGCTAGGAAACAGAAATGTAAGCGTCCTTGGAAGCCCAGCAAGTAGGCCCATCACCAACAGCCCCGCTTTTGGATTAGCTTGACAACTCTCTTTTTTTTTTGTTCCGACTCTTTACCAGACTAACCCCACCCTACCAAACCAAATCATAAGAAAAAATCAACTTTTTTACTTAATGTTAATGATAGTCTAAATAGTAATAGCTTTTAGTGTGGCAAATCTTCGTCCATAATTAAAAATCTAGATGATGAATGTTCACCGACAAATTAAAACTCTGGTGATTTTGTTTTTAAAATTTATCAATTTGGATTACAAGTGAGTATTCATCAAAATTATTGTTGCTTGAAATACGAAGGTTGATACGTGCAATCTGGTTTATATAGCAAGTTGGTCAAGAATCTCAAGATTACTAAAAGACAGCGAGGGCGTCGAAGGTGGGTCAACATAAAGCTCAAATTTCTTTCTCCCAACACCAACTTAATTGAGCAGTAGTTAAAGTAAACTAAGACCATGCATGTCAAACAATCATATATTATTGATGGGTTTATCATCTATCATTTAACATGACCATAAAAAATTTTCTACACACAACATTTTGTGGGGCTCGCAGCAAAAAAAAAAAAAAAAATCGGCACGCAAAACGAATCTCTATAACATAACACAATCATTTTTCCTACAACATAACTCTTATAAAATCCATTATTGATATACAAAATAACATTACTAGTCTCATTCACCCTATTAAGTCCTTTTAGGGCTGTTTATCATACTCTTGGGGATTTGACTAATAAAAAGGATGATAGAGTGACTTTTTAGCAATTTTTGACGGTGGTGGTAGAGGTCCACTCCACCCCCCATATATTTCGTGGTTTTTGACTTTGTTCAAACTTAATTAGTGGTTGTCGTACACACTGAGCCATTCCCTGATGACCTAGTTTTTATGGTAGCATTTGAATTCTGGGTTGGATTTGATGGGGAGCATGGCGTTAGTCTTGGGAGTTGGGTGGTAGTAGGTACTTTGGCTTCTTTTAAAATTGATAAATCGCATTTCAATACAAGATTGATTCACCTATCGAATTTTCGTCCAAAATAATTAAATAAATTAAAATTATTTATTCTAACTTAGAATGATAATACTTTTTTTTTTCTCACTTTAAAATTTTAATTAAAAAATACTCTTATAAAGATTATGATTGATAAGTTTCGCTTAATCTTTTTTGGTATTCTAAAAATAAACCCAGCACTTCTTTTTTGTCATTTGTAAAAGAAATCACAAATTTTGGCTTGAGAATCGAAACTCCAGCGAACGTCGGTTGGGATGTTTTCCAAACTGAGCTTTAATTTCTCTCTTTCTTTTTTTCGTTAATATTCCAATCGGTTCATTACTTCGTAACTAATCCGATTCGGGACGGGTTCAGGATTAAGACTTTAAACTCCTTCCAAAGATGGTACTGAGCTTTAATTTCTTCAAGCATTAGAGTCACTTGTGGGTGTAACTGGGCTTAGTTGACTTAGACTTTGGCTTAAATAAATTAGGTCTGTATAAAATATTTTAAGTTTGACCTGATCTATTAGTTTTATGTATGTCTAAATTATAAGCTTGGTCTATTTTATATGTAAAAAAATAAAAGTCTTAGCTTAGACCTATTAATCTGTTTAAGTTTATTAGACATTGAATAATGAAAATAATAATCATTTATTTTTAAAATCATTAAAATGTTAATATTACTTATTTTATTTAAAATAAATAATATAATATAGATCAGCCGTAGACTTATAGGCCTTGTATATAAAAAAAAAGCATATGACATACTTTTAAAATAATTTTTTTTAAAATTCTAAATTTATTCTATTTGACTATATATAATAAATCAAATTTAATTTGATGTAGGCTGAGTCATAAGTTTCTATTAAATCATCTAATTCATTTATGCTTCTACGAGTAACGACACCCATCGCAACCAACAAGTGGGAAATACTTAATATGGTTCAGGACCACTGAATCTTTTGGTGTTCTCTCTCACATTATTAATTTTTCTTTTCCTTTTTATTCCTGTTATTTTCTCTCTTTTCTAATTTTACCCTGCTATTTACACTAAAGGACCACCTAAAAAATGGTGGTCCCAATTTACAAAAAATAATCTCCAACAAGTGGCTCCGAATCAAGTCAATCAACTCGGCCACTGGTAAAAGCAACTGAGTTATATATACGCGTTCAAGTGACAACCAATAACTGTTTTTATTTTTTAGAAAAAAGAAAGAAAGAAAGAATGAAAAAGTGACAACCAAAACATCTGATGTATCATCTAGTAAAATCTTACGAATCATAACTACCAAAAAAAAATCTTACGAATCTTTTTTTTGTCTTACATTTTAATATTTATACTATTCATCTTTATACATAGGAACATCTTTATACCTGTTCATCAAAATTTTTACTTAAATGCTACGCGAACAGTATTATTTTTCATTATGACACGGGGACAAGTTTGCTACCCGATGTAGCGAACTCAGTTTGCTGACATGTCACGTTTCTAGTGGACATCAAGTTCGCTACACGGGGTAGCAAACTCCAATTTTTTTTTAAACTTAGTACTTGTTATCCACTAAAAATGTGATACGTCAGCAAACCGAGTTTGCTATACTAGGTAGCGAACTTGACTCCATGATAGATTCAAAAATGATATTGTTCACGTGACATTTAAATAAAAAATTTAATAAATAATGACATTTTGATCCGTGTTCTTGTATATATGTGTGTGGTTGTATAATGTCCAGAATCTTTATTATAATGTAAATTCCTGTCGCATCACCTCTCTAGATATTTTTATTTCTCCCGACATTTGCTAAAGGGATTGCTAAGCCATGCATGCTTCCATTTCTATACCCCACATTATAAATTAATTATTAGTTTTTTAATACCATGAATCTGATACACCCTTCCTTTACCTTTCATAAAACTATTCCATTACAAATACGAAACCCAGTCCACATCACAATTCACATTCCAATGCCCAAAAGCTTAGCTTCCAGTCTCTTGTTTCAAATTCGATGACCCTTTTCATGGCTTCTTCTGGTTCTGCTGCAGAAAATATTAAAGAGGGTAATTTGGTCTTGCAAGATGGATATGTCTTCAAAGAAGAGACCCATCTCACTGTGCTCAAAACCTCTCTCTTCTTCGCCGGCGATGGCTTCACCGTGTACGATTGCAAGGGTGAACTCGTCTTCCGAGTTGACTCTTATGGATCCGACACTCGCGACAGAGACGAACTCGTTCTCATGGATCCAATCGGACGTTGTCTTCTCACCGTTCGCCGAAAGGTACGCCACCTAGTACCTAGTACAATATACCTTGTACCTTGTACATACTACATACTATCTTTCTTAATTATCCGATTCAACTCAGTGAGTCTCGTTAGCTAATCGGATTAAATCATGTTAATTGTAATTAAGGTTCGTGATTGATGATTGGTGTTATGTGGATGTGCATAAAAGGAGATAATCTTATATTGTTGAGTAAATACTTTTTTTTTTTTTTTTCCTTTCACGTTTTCGCACTTTAGTCCCTAGCAAATAAAAATGTTATTTGTGCGTGATAAAAAATTTAAAATGGATCAATTTAATTGAAATTATAGTCTCTCGCAAATTTAAAAAAGATTCAATCTTTAAAAGCACTAATTATTCAATTTGAATTTTTTACTAACTACAAATAATTTTTTTATTTATTAAGGACTAAAGCGGATATTGTTGGATATTGTTGAATGTGCTAAGGATATTTATTTAGTCTATGTTGTTTCATATAGTTGATGCGCATTATCTTATAATGGGTGATTAATTGATTTGAGTGGACTCAGCAGAGGCCGAGTCTGCATCAACGGTGGGAAGGCTTTAAAGGGGAGAGAACGGACGGTGATAAACCGATCTTCAGCGTGAAGAGAGCATCGATCATCGGACGGTCACGTGCGAGCGTGACGGTGGAGGTGTACGATAACCCAGGTGAGGAGTACCATATCGAAGGGTGCTTCTCGCAGCGTTGTTGTACGATTTTTAACGCGATGAAGGAATCAGTGGCTGAGATTCATCGCAAAGTGGATCCCACCACCAGTGTTATGCTTGGGAAGGAAGTGTTCTCTCTTTGCGTTAAGCCCGGTTTTGATGCTGCTTTTGCCATGGGATTTGTGCTTGTTCTCGATCAGATTAACGGCGATGATTACGTTGATAATGATGCAACCACTGAGCCTGCAGTGCACCCTGCTACAGAGGATTAAACCCGCACATTCACGTTTGTGTATCATGTACCGGAGGCTTTACTAATCTTGGGGAGTTTGGAGTGTCCCTCGTTAGGGAACCTCTGCCCCTTCTTTTCTGGGTCACGCATTTGAAAGAATAATGTTTTCAGTTTCCCATGTGATCGTGTAAATTTTTATATTTATTCATAAAATAATATAAGTTGAGGTTTCCTATTTCAATCAATTGGCCTTTTTTATGAATAGCTGAGTGACTTAAATTAAATGAGGGTATCATTATTGATCTCTCAAAAATTGGCGTCTAATAGCCTAATATATGAAGTATTGATATGCATGATACGAGCACAATTTGTCTCTTGAAGTGTTTATGAACTGTGATTTATAACTATCATAGCAAAAGTTATTTAAACAAATCTGTTATGGACCTATATGATGAGCCCATTAAGTAGTAAGCCCAACAAGGGACAATCCAAGATATGGATTGGTGCTAGTTAGATCCTACTAATTTTAGTGTGTCAGCACAGCTATCCACTTGATGTGTCAGCATAACTATCTAAATTATCTACAGTAACCTCTATAAATACCAGGGCAAACCCTAAACGTACACACATTCTCTCTCTTTGTTATGCTGTGCACACACACCCCATTGGCTAACGCCACTATAGTATTCTGCGCACAGTGATCTCCTTGACTCAAGGATATCTCCCTCATAGATACCTTGGAGAGGGCATCAGATCCAATATTAACGTACTAGCCTGACTGGGCTAGACATCTTTGTCTCAAGGACAGAACAATCCTTTTTGCTACATGACGGGGTGTTACGACTTTCACATTGATTGATTGCATAGAAAATTAATGTGAGATTTATAAGGTCTTGGGTATTCTCATTCTTTGAGTTAGTTTTTGGAGTGGTGATCTCAATGTCCATAACAATTGATATTTTCGTTGAGAGTTGAGGTCATGAAAATGACTACTATAAACTGAATTAAGGTATCTTTGGACATTGAATACTGAGAAAAAATGACTACCGTCGGATCAGTATCGATAAAATGAAAGCCACCGTAACATCAGCCCTTAAATGGAGCGACAATATTACAATTTCCACGTATTAATTGCCTATACTACTAATTTGGGATGCTTGTATACCCAATGGAAGATTCTGAACAACCGAGTTGGGGGTGCTATGGGTGTAACCTAATTCATGGAAGTGTAATTAGCTACAAAAACAGTTTGTTGACAATATTCGAGGTATGCCTCAGCTTTTGAAAGATATTGATGGTGAAGAATATGCCACGTGCTGCTTAAAAGAAAGAAAATCAAGATGCAATATTTAATTTAGCAACCTTTAATAAATATCTGATTTTGGTTTAATATTTTAGAGTAATCATTACTATTATTTCTCCATATTAATTAAGTAATTAGTGGATACCTTTTGTTTTGATACCCCGACGTCCCGTAGCAGCACCAACATGAGACGAGACACGAAGCCAACCCTATCAATTGAACTTTTGAATAAAAAATTTCAGACAATGAAATGATTAATGGACTTAATTGATAAAATTGAAAAATATCAAGAAAGGATTTGAATTTTTATAGTGATCCTTTATTCGTAAGTTATTCATAAATATCGATATAAACATGTGTTCCAGAATTCTCGGTATCCTTGCGGGTTTGACTCTTTGAATCGCTTATGGGACTAATCCAGAGTTCGGGTGCGAGTCCAAGAATTACGGTACTTATGCCCCTCCCCAGATGGTGTTGGTGAAATTCGAACCGAGGTCGTCTCCCACCACTCAGTCCCTATGCTACCAACTGAGCCACCACACTTGGGTTACATGTATTATTTTAAAATGAAATTTTAAAATCATTTTCATTACAATAAAAATAAAAAGATAAACAAAACAAGGAAGGTGGATCACTAGATGTAACCAACCAGTATATATATAAAACTACTCTGTAAGGCACTCAGCTAGTGTAAATTTACTGCAATTATTAAAAAGGTTAGAAATTTTGATTCCAGCACAATCAATAGTTATTTAAACAAAAATACTCGAGTAACTTATACATATTGCTTAGGCAGGTTAACTTTCAATAGTTTGTTTCAAAATTATACATTAAGAAAATCAATTTCAAGTTATGACAATGTAACTAATGACAGTAAAGAGTCAAAACCAATCTAACTATGAATAAGAGAATTAATATAATTGACTTATAATTTGCAGCTAAATTGATTTAATCAGTTCCTTATATAAAGAAAAGTATAATTCAGATAAAGTGCTTCACTTACTGATTACAAAACTATTCACCTAGAATAGTAATTTGCGGAAAGTTATTAAACCAACAATATAATTTATCAAGACAACTTGTAACACACTGACTTATTCGACTAGTTTAAGGTGAATACAATGCAGCCTTTTTCTTTATATTCAACTATATAGATCAGTGAGTTAAGTTTAATGACCTTAATGAAACAATTCTACCTAACAACATATGTCAAACTAGTACTCGAACAACTCGAGTTATGATCAATCTACTTTTATCCTACTGGACTTAGGACTATAATTGTAACCAATATCAATTGATAGTATACTGAAATCATTAAAGTAAACATACAACCTGCATTTTCATTTATTTTGCAATCAAATATGCACTTGTTATCCAATTTACTGAAACATCAAAGTCAAGTTAGAACCTTAAGGACTGAAGTCTGAACATTCAGGAGGTGTATATGATTGAGATTTTAATGGATTGTTTTTGGACAAAAAAACTCTATTGGTATTTAATTAGGATTTTAAAGGATTATAAAAAAAAATCACGTGATATTAGTTTAGAATTTTAAAATATTGTTTTAGAGTCTCTCTAAATCCGATGGTATTTGTAGAATCAAGGTGATGATGCCACATCAATATAGTTTGGATGATAACAAACAAGCTTAAAAAAAGAGATTCAAGAGCTTTAAAGAAGCAACATTAAAAAAGAATTCAAGTCTATGCAAAGACAAGCAATCAAATGTCAAAGTCAAAGTATCAAGTCTCAAAGCATGAAGCTAAGTTCAAGATCACATTAGAATATATATTTAGGACTTAGAACAAATATGTAAAGATGTATAGTAAATAGCATTGCATGAGCTCAAGTCATTCACATCATTGCATAATCATAAAGTGCTTTAAAACCTTGGTATTAGATGTCAAAGTTACATAAAGAAAGGTCTTAACTTAATTTAAGCACACAAGCAGCTTTACACAACCTAATCACACATGTTTACACTCTTGAAAACCTATTTGCACTTGAAAGAATGCATCTTGAACACTAAGTATTGAAAAAGGATAATTTGAATGGTTTAATATGTCAAAATGAGTTTTGAATGATATTCACATGACTTGAACACTTAGAAACACTATCCATACTCAATTACATGTGTTCAAAGCTTTAAAAGTCATTTTGTATGAAGAGAATTCAAGATTTCGTGAAAAAGGGATGCTTTTTTGAAATATCCTAATATTCTTTTTTCAATATCAGGATATGGGCCCGAGAAATATTCGGATATGTACGGACCACAATGCTATAAATGACTAGCTTTTATTTGAGGGGCCTACATAAGTATTTGTTACTCTTCATATGGTAGTTGGACAAAATTATATCTAGTGTTAAATCATTATTACTTCTTCTATCTTATTTTAGCTCATTGGTTACATACATTGATCACTCTCATACTTGAGCTCATCCTTGATTCAACCTATACACCCATTAGTTCTTCAACTTGTATTATTCTTACTTTAAGAGTACTTATCCATTTTCTAAACACATCATTTGAATTCTGAAATTAAGAGGGGAGTGAACCCTTGTAACTGAGAGGTTACCAAATTCCTAAAGAAATTTGGAGGGAAGTGTAAAGGCATCCAAGAGCCCGACATCTTGGAAGATTGTAGTGGTTTGTTAAGCATCCTCAAGCGTGATAGTTAGTGAAAAAGATTGATCGAAAGACTTTAGTCTGGACGTAGGTCATTGTGGTGGTGACCGAACCATGATACATCTAGTTTGCAATTTCTCTAATCTTGAACTCTTTACTTTAGTCTTGAAATTGTATTTTTAGATTGTGTTTATTTATTCACTAGCTTATTTTATTGATCACAAACTAGTTCCTACACTTAGATTTTTGCTTGTTAAATCATTTAATTGAGGAAATATTCTTTAAAATATCAAAGGAGACAATGTGCGAAAAGATTTTACAAAACTCAGTTTCATCTTAAGTATTGAAGCCACTTATCTAACAGTATTAAATCAGAATTTTAAACAAAAGAAAAACAATCTTGTGGTATTCAAAAATCTGACAATTGTAATGAATTTTCTATTAGTGTGAATTTTGTGAGACTTTTTAGTTAAAAATATAAATAATATGTCTCATTCATAATCTCACCTTAATCCTTGGGATTTCTTTATTACGATGTCTCACAATCTACCCTGGCCTTTTCTCAAAGCCAATGTATGTTCTTTTTTGACTTTCATATATTTTCTTTGGTTTTGACATTCCTCCTTATGCTATTCTTCTTCATGAGATGGTTGTGCTTGTCGTTTCTAATGATGTCTTACATTTTTTTATATGATCGTAGCACTGGTAATACGTTGATGATAAACATGTTTAATAAACAATATATAGACTTTTTATGCACCATATTAGGCACATAATGAGAGACAAAAAACCGTTGTTGCTATTACAAACTTGATTTCGTTACTGAGTTAAAAGAGAATCTACTCAACAATGTTAAGCATTCTAATACCATAATGAATGCAAGTTACTATTTGACAAGACAATGAACAGAAAAATAATGCTCATTGCACAGTACATATACCAGCTTTTCACTTTATGATCTTTTAAATTGGGATAATAATAATTTTATTTACTATAAATAATTTCATATAATAATTTTAATAAATATTTTTAAAAAATATTGATGAAAATGAAATAATTTTTTTAATGTGAATAACATGCTCCATCTCACTAATAGCGTGCAAATGTTTCACAAAGTTTTAATGAATTTTGCGCATATAAATTTTTTATTTGATTATTCCTCTTAAGAATCACCTTTTAATGTTTGTTAAAAATTCATATGATTTTTTTAAAATCTTATAAATTCATATTGTCCTTTCAAATCTTATAAATTCTATTAAAATCCTTTAAAATTCAATGTTATAAAATCATGATTGTAAAAAAATTTAAAAAAAGTTTTTAAATTCACTACAATTCTATATAGTCTTTTAAAATTCTATTCCAAACACCCCCCTCAGGTATGAACTCTCGTTAACATGCTTAAATTTTCAAATGAGTTAATTCTATTTAGTTAGAACCAAGGGGGTATTTCGTAGAGGAGAAATTTTTTTTTACCAGGAAAATACAATTACTAGAAATATGGTGGCAAAGTGAATTCGGTAAGAAAGTTCAAAAAAAGTTGTTTGATAAGCCGAAATATTACAGGAAAAATTGGATTAAATTTTCAGAGTCTATGTTTGGTTGAAGGTAAAATATTGATGGAAAAATGTGATGAAATTATCAAACTAACATTTGACTAAATACAAAGAGAACTTTTTCTCTAGCTCTTTTGGGCATGTTTTTTGAGAAGGAATATTTGTGTCCATTGCTTTTTTTCCCTACTTTTTCAATTTTACACACAAACTGAGATTGCTATGCAAATCCGAATGATGGACAAATTTTTTAAAACCTCTTACCAAACATGGTTAACTAGGAAGCTCATCTCGACTTTCCTTGGCACCCTAAAAAAAACTCTCCTACCAAACACTCCCAAGTCATTCGATAAGACTTTAAACATTGTCTTTTCTAGCTTGGTTTCAACTTAGGTCCTTATAATGGAATGATTCACATACCATAATCAGTACTAAGTCAATCAAAATCTGTTTAGCGCAACTGGAATTCATATATAACAGCAGACATCGAAACACAAGGTAGTAAAATAATTTTCATACTAAAGGGACATATCATCACAAAATGGAGCAAACACACATTCATACATACTTTGTGGTTCTATCAAAGTATATAAGCCACAAAATATCAACTGCTATGGAGGTCATATCAACATGATATATTCAAAACAAAGCTTTTACAGAACACCAACAAAAAATGTAGCAATACACAATTATCACGTGGTGGGGGCCGCCTGAAATGTTGCAATAACTTGTTATTCGAAACCAGCACAAATGTAATGCTTTTCAGATTACCGAGTCTCTTGTGGAGGTCATAGAGGTCGTGGTGGCTGAACTGGTACAACTGGTTTACGGTTTAGGCCACCTAGAACTGGTGGTGGCGACTGAACTAGAATAGCTGGTTTAGGGTTTGGGCCACCTAGAACTAGTCCTTCTTGAGCAGTTTCTGGTGGCTGAAGCGTAGACAATGGCTCTAGGGAACACCCCTACTGAGTGTCGTGAACCCTCCTCCACAGCACTAACACATTTATTTATTTTTCCAGGTGAGTGGCAGGACCCCCCTCTGACATTCACACAATTGTGCCAAATGGCACAACCCCGTTAGTCCGTAAGCATAAAACATCGAAAGGCTGTAACTTTTGATTCAGGTATCCAAATCAGATAATTTTTTTATTTCACATATCTTTTAGAGATCTACACAATGACACCTTATTTGGCATATTTTATCTTCCATAAACATAGTTCAAATTTGCAACAATAGTTCCACAATCATGAGCATTTAAATCCAAATTTTGGCTGGTAGAGGTAGAAATCCTTGATTTGTTTAGCTTCCTCGATTTTCAAATTAATTTTATTGAGATTTTAATTAATTGAATTTCTATATGTTAGAGTTGTAGCAGCACCTGTGCGAGACAATAGTTAATTTCAAAATTTGTTTTTGTGAAGAAAAGAAAGCTAAGAAAAAGTTGGAGCAGAAATGGAGAATCCTAGCAATAGGGAAAGAATAAACAAAGCAGAGATAGACGATAACATGTTGGTCATGCTTGATGCCTCTGAAGCTATGGTTGTGTTAGTTACCATTGTTACAAATTCGAACTGTGTTTGCGAGAGATAAAATATGACAAATAAGATGTCATTGCGTAAATGTCGAAAAGTTTTGTGAAATAAAAAAAAAATATGATTTGGATACCCGAGTCAAAAATTATGACATTCCAAAGTTTTACGGTAACGAGTCAAAAATTATGCCGGAAGGGGGGTCACGACACTCACCTGAAGAAAAGAAAAGAAAAACCTGTGAGTGCCACAGGGGAGGGGTCGCGGCACTCAGTACCCCCCAGAACACTAAACATCCCCGTTGATAAATATTGAGAATCAAATACCAAATTGTTACATTAATAATTCAAAAAGAACCCATTGAACAAAGAGCCTACAAATCTTGAGTAATAGATGTTTCTCTATTCCATATATTCTCTAGTTGCACAAAACATGCTTGACACTGCTGAAATGCTGAAAAAATAACAGGACAACAGCAATAGACAATATTGAATGCCTAATCAAGCCTATGGTACATTGTTGAGTGTTAATAAATAATAGAAAGGTTAATCATCAATACATTGAGATATCATATCTCTTTTTTCTTTTTCTTTTTTGGAACAATTGAGATATCATATCTAAGTTTTGGAAATTCCACAACTTGAAATGGTTGTGAGTACTGAAAACTGTAACTAGATCCAAAGAATCAGAGAGTTCACATGTACCTTATCTTATGATGAATTACAATGCTAAAAGAAGAAGAGCAGCAAACTTCAATAGAATAAAAAAATTATACGTATTAAGCCTCCAATTCTATTATAAAAGAAACATTCCAACAATCATATATACCCGTCATTCCAATTGCGAAAAATTCTGGGAAAAGCAATGCAATTGTAGTATAGTGAGGACAATAAGGAAGTTCACAATAACGCCATTAGTAGAGTTGAAAACGCATGATGATGTTAAAGAAAAAGAAAAAGAAAAATTGATGCTAAATTTCAGAAATCCAAAAGTTGGTCAAATACACGTGGCTAGATAAACGATTGATGAATATAGGAAAATTAAAGAACACAGCAGCTTTTGTCCAAACAAGGAAAGGAAATGATAAATTGTGACCTACATTTACCTTTAACTTTCTGTAACCTACGAAAGAGCATTCATAGAAGCGTAAGAAATCCGGGGAATGTGAAATTTAAATGACTACTAACACAAATGTGTGCCAAAAGACAAAAGTCTATAATCGACATAACTTCACTATGGAAAATCAGAAGTCCTAATCTACAAGGGAGATTCGTTTAATTTCCTAGGTAGTAAGTACAACCGAATCTTAGAATACAACAACAAACACTACAGTCATCCATGAGGTTACAAAATTACTAAAAAAAAGTCACAGGCACCAGGCAATATAGTACAATACATTTCACAAGCTCACACGAGGGTATGATGAATGTTGAAGGGTTTTACTTTTCCATTGTCAATTATCTCCCCATCCTTCATCTTCACTTGCTCCTCAGATTGAATGGTGTTTTCGCCATCAGTTACAAGTGTATCTTGCTTAGCATTTGTCCCTTCAACAGATGAATGTGGCAAAGCATTAGGATTCTCTTTCTCGGCTCCTTCATTAGCATCTAGAATCACAGCATCTGATTTATCCTGCTTCTTGTCAATTGCACCATTTTGTTCCTCGGATTCAGTTGGTTCGCCCCCTTGTGATTTTTCGGTGACCGCAGCATAGGAATCTTCTCCAGTAACTTTCTCTGCTGATTCCGCGACTGATGCGACTTCTTGCTTTTCAGCTTCCTCACCTTCAGGCTTTTCAGCAATCACATGTTCCCCTCCCAAATGAATATTATTAATTTCCTCTGAATCACTCTCTATTTTGTTACTAGTGCCATTCAGATCAGTTTCTTCCATATCTACATCTGGCTTCTTGGTTTGTTCAATTTGTTGAGTTTTATCACCATTCTCAAGTTGCTTTTCTCCAGAGTTATCATTTCCTTTATTAGCTTCAACATCTTCCTCTTCAGGTGCCTCTGCAGCCTTGGGTTCTTCAGTAGCAGACTTTGCATTGCCTTCCTCTGAATCACACTCAGTTTCTTTGTTATCCTTCTTTGATCCTGATGATTTTCGAGCTCGTTTCTTTGGAGAATCACTATCTGCTGGTGGGGTTGATTTGACCTTCTCACTGATCCTTGCTGACCGTCTAGGGGTCTCACCAGTTCCCCAGTCAAATTCGGATATCGCAGGATTGCCAGGATGTGCCTTTAGGTACTGCTCCAATTGTTTTCTGCTACTGATCTCCTCCCCAGTTGGAGCAATGAATACAATCTCACTTTTTCTTGGTGTTCCCACTTTCTTAGGGAAGAACTGCAGCATTGAACTAAAAATACATCATAAAACAGATCCATACAACATATAAGCAATCCAATAAGGTTTGTTACTGATTGGTTTAGAGAATAATAACAACATAAGCATGTATCCAAAACTCACATACACACAATCTCTCTCCAATCCTTCCAGGAAAGATGGAAAGCATACACATATTACATATATGTGGATGAGAGAGAGAAAGAAAATGCAGAGTACATAAAATAAATTATTGTAGAATGGTGAATGGATAATTAAACACAAAATCCGAAGGACCTGATCATCAATAAATCACTAAAGATTAGTTTTCAAAGTCCTATACTCTGGAATGTACCAGTTAACATTTTTAGTGAAAAATATTGTATTGATTCACATATCATCTTATCCTGAATTAAACTTGTTTCTCAAGACAAATTATTCAAATTATTCCATGCCACTCCTCTTGTTCATATCTATCACAAACACTCTTGTTAAACATGGTTTCTTTCCTCAGCAAATTGAATGCCACAAAGTTTATGTCATCCATTTTGCAGGGAACTGGATCAGTAGGTACTTAATGAAATGACACACAAGAGGAATTGGCCCAGAAAACTTCTGGATTTTCTGTATTATATATGAAAAAGAAAGACAAGTACAATATTGAATTCATGTAAAAGAAAAGACACTGAAGAATATGAACAGGAAAAGCTCTAGGTACAGAAAATGGAATCAACTTCAAAAGAAGAAAATAATATCGGCACTTTCGAAAGGTGCTGTTCTCTCCCAATTGATAAGCCCAAAATGCCCAAATTCCAACCTCCTCTTCTGAACCTCTTTTCTCTCTATTTATGCAACGTGCCCCTGTAATCATGCCGATAGTGACTCATTCCTAACAGAATTGTGCAACTCATTCCCCCCTAACTGTTTTGCTGCTAAGTCAGCCTTTGTGAGTTTGTTGCTTATTTCATTCTGAATGCTAACTTTGCCCTTAAACCTCCTTCTAGAATACACTTTAAGGGATAGGGATGTATCAGAAAGAAAAAAGAAAAAGAAAAAAAAATATATATATCTCCTGCAACATTCTATAAGTATGCCAAAGCTGGGGCATAACATCACGTCCTAATTCACATCAATAGCTCAAATTACTCAAATCCTAATCATTTGCCGCAGTTATTTCAAATTTCACTGGATACAGTCTCAGTTAACAATCAGGCCATAGTAAGTTCCCTTCCAACATGAAGAGAGGGAATATAACAAGTTAGGACATAATAGATAAAATGACACTCATCTTGCTTTCAACATCTATATTATAACCAGAATTAAAATGCAACATTTTGAATACTAAAAAAAAAAAAAAACTACTCCCCATTAAACCCGGCTAGCGAGTGTGGGGTGGAAGAAATCTTTGTACGCAGCCTTATCCTTGCATAATTGCAAAGAGGCTATTTCCTGGATTCGAACCCATGACCTTTCAGTCATGAAGGAACAGTTTTACCATTGCTTCGGTTCATTTTGAATGCTAAATAAAACAAAATCTTACAAGTTAGAAGAATATGAAAGCACAAAAGTTCATTGCATTTTTTCCATGCTACCCAATTCTGTTTCCGAAAAAAAAAATTGCAGGAAAAAAAAGAAGTCAGTATTATCTTCTTTTGGAATAAGCATACTGATAACTAACTAAACAGAATTTAGTCTAAAATATTATCAATTTTGTCTTTCACATCATACATATTCTTTAAACTAACAACTGCAAATGAAAACAAAATTTCCTTCTAGTATGGTCCATCCTCAATAAAACAAAGAATTCATTAACAAATCTGCAGGATTACTCCAACCACTACATACTTAAAATTACAAACTTCAGAACAAAATTCTCTGCATTTTATCTCTTTTTCACAAGCACCAATCAAGAATAAATCTTCTTGTAGGTATCAAAAATAAAGTAGACAATTTTCCCGGGAAGTGAGCTTAATTATTGTGATATCATTACACTATCACCATCCAAAAAAAAAAAAAAAATGTTACTGAAGTGGGAAAAAAAAATTGGAATTTGCAAGGAAAGATTTTCCAAGAAAAAAAAAAACCCTAGAAACAAAGTTACTACCAAAATCGCCAGACACTTGCACAGACCCTAACTCTACATTAAAAATAATATTAGGGAACTATATGTCCAATTTGTGTTAGTAAGTTAGAAATGAAGCTACACAGACATAATTATAGTATTTATGAAAAAAAAAAAAGGAGTTAAATTTAAGAAGTAGATAAACACTCATAAACTTGATACAAACACGAACTAGAGCAAAGACAACAACATATAACAATAATTTATAATAGAAAATGAGATTGAAGAAAGAAAGAGACCAGTTTGTTCCAAGCAGGAGGCGCTGGAAGCTCGACCGATAAAACCTCGTCTTCGGAAGCACTTTGCTTCTCCATTTGTCTCTCAACACAAAACCGTTGGGGATTGTTTCACCTTCACTCTCTCCTCTCTAAACCGTAACCAGATTTTATTTTTGGGAATTGGGACCTGATAACCTCACCCAGCTACCACCACACACTACTCGGTAAACGACGTCGCTATTTGTCTGTTAATAAAATTTAAACCGACCGACAACATCGAACATTGTTACAGACAACACTTCCCTTTTTAAAATTAGATAATACAATTTTTTTAATCTAATTTTATCTATATTATTGGGAAGTGGATGTTCTCGTATGAAAAAGTGATCATGTTATTGATAATGAGATAAGAGAGAAAAAATGTATAATTTTTAAATGATTGATTCTCATCAAATAATATGATGATATGATCACTTTTTTATATAAGAGAATCTACTCCTATATTATTGTTAATTAAATTGACTATAGACACGTGCAAGATGCTTCCCCCAACCTTGGCGTGTCGACGAATCATGCGCTATTGCGCTTCGTCGTCGTCAGTAGTTGTTGTGATAAACTAACAATAACAGCTTAACCCACTGTTTCTCTCTCGTCATGTGAAGTGCACGCGCTCGATTAGGGGTTGTGCTTGTGTAATCATAATGTAGTGAGGTACAGAAAATAGGACCACCTGTCGCTCAGACATTAAAAGTTAGCGGATAATGTTGGATTTAACTGAATTTAAATGTGGGTTTGGGTTCCGAATTATGACAATGACCTAACTCTGTTGTATTTTTCATTTCAATAGATATTTGCTCCCGTATCCTAAATACGAATGCTAACTACAAATTGCTTTGTTTTATAAAAATATCGTTTTATTCTGATAGATTATTCTACGTCCTTATAAAAATATATTATGTTTAAGAATCGTGATCATTATTGTTATATTATTCTTATCCATTACCAAAAGGCAATTTATCATCTCATACAAACGTTACATTCCTTTACATACGAGGACAAATACAAATATAAAATTATACAGTCAAGTTTTTTATTTCAAAAATTGAAACTTGGAGAGAAATAGGGTAATTTGTATCATTTCACTCTTATAAAGAAGTTAGACCCACATCTTTATTTTTTTTTATCCACTCTCTCCATCATGATCTATCTCTTTCTCTCACTTAAAATGACATAACTTTACGTTCTTTAAAATGATACACGTTTTTTCCCTATAACAAATGGCATGTGACCGTCGGATCATAATGTATCCAATCAAAATGTTGTATCGAAGGGAAAAAATTTGAGTGCACGAGGACTTTGTGCTCCTCCCATTAAGAGGATGATATGTGGATTGAAAAAATATTATTTTCTTCTTTGTCCTCTATTTTCTCTTCTCTATTCTGTTTTCATTGATCTGTCTCACCCAATAAAAAATAATTCGGGAACACTTAAAAACGTGTCGAATCGGAATCCAGCAGTTTATAATAGATTAGCAAGATGGATATATTATTTAAAAAATTAATGTAAACACTTTTTAACACATTCTTAACTATTCATATAAAATTTATTTAATAATAAAATAATTTATTAAAAGAGTACTCTATTATTAGCATTTTGTATATTTTTATTTAAGTTTGGAAAGTGATCAGACCAAATCTTTACAATTGGGCCGATCATGTGATCTTCCTCTACACAAAGGCCTGGAACCTCCTTGGGTCAGAGCATCTTGCAGTTTGGAGTTTGGAGCAGCTTTAACCCATGGGTCTTCGATGGAACGCGATGGGGGGTGTACCTGCAAGACACTCCGACGCTCAAGTCAGTTATGGTCCAAGCAGGTTTAATTATGTAGGAGAAGATGATGTACCTTAGTGTTGATACATGTATTTATAGTGGAGATATGAGCAGCTTGGAGATGTCTTAATGCTGAAGTATACTTGGAGATGAAGTATCTTGAAGCTACTTGTTGCCATGCTGCCTTTAATGTTGAGGAGCTTTGCTAAGATAAACTTTAATATTGTGGTGCTTAATGGGATAAAGCCATTAATATTGTGCAGCTTGATGGCTGTAATGAGCTTGTTGTTATAGCAGCTTGTGGAGCTTGTTGTCTGTCATGGTGCTTTTAATATTGTGGAGCTTGCAGCCTTCTTGGACTAAGGCTTTGCTTCATTGTGAAGGCTTTAATTCTGGGCCTTGTATTTGTATAATATTTATCCAGATCAGAAGCCCCCCAGCTCGTTGCTTATGCCGAAGGCATGAGTAGCGAGATGTATAAGTCTTTTGTGCGAGATGTATAAGTCTTTTGTATAGGTACTTGAGAGCTTCATATTTGTATCCTACAGTTTTATACAGTTCATAATTCGTATTTCATAAAGTTGACATACCTTGTGCATGTTTTGGGGTTTGATGTTGCTGAATATGTAGCTATAAGTGTCGCGCTTTTGGAAGGAATTTGGCCCTAGGTGGGGTTCATCCTGCCTTGTATCGCGCTTGATCATGGAGGATCGCGATAAGACTTGGAGGATCGCCATGTGAATAGTTATGATCCGTTGAGAGGATCCTTGAGAGGAGTCCTGTTGCTTGGAGGATTCGTGGGAGAATCCTGTTATTTGATAAGATCCTTGAGAGGAGTCCTGTTGCTTGGAGGATTCGTGGGAGAATCCTGTTATTTGATAGGATCCTTGAGAGGAATCCTCCTACTTGGAGGATTCGTGAGAGAATCCTGTTATTTGATAGTATCCTTGAGAGGCATCCTGTTACTTGGAGGATTCGTGAGAGAATCCTGTTATTTGCTAGGATCCTTGAGAGGAATCCTGTTATTTGGAGGATTCGTGAGAGAATCCTGTTACTTGGAGGATTCGTGAGAGAATCCTGTTTGTTGATAGGATCCATGAGAGGAATCCTGTTACTTGGAGGATTCGTGAGAGAATCCTGTTATTTGCTAGGATCCTTGAGAGGAATCCTGTTATTTGGAGGATTCGTGAGAGAATCCTGTTACTTGGAGGATTCGTGAGAGAATCATGTTTGTTGATAGGATCCATTAGAGGAATCCTGTTACTTGGAGGATTCGTTGTGAGGAATCCCGTTATCTGATAGGATCCTTGAGAGGAATCCTGTTACTTGGAGGATTCGTGAGAGAATCCTATTATGTTCTTCATTGCGCTTTGGCTTGGAGGACTTTTCTTCTGTTTGGTGAAACCTGTAATTTCCATAGATCTCACAGAATAATAACATTATATCACGGAGATGATAATTGTAACAAGATCATGTTAAAATAATAATGTTGCTGATAGGAAATTGTAGCATTTGATTTTGAGTGTGTCTGCGTTTCACGCGATATTTTTGTCTTCGCCTTTTAGCAGTCATGGAGCCCTGCAATGTCTTATTGATTTCACAATAGAAGTAGTTAAGATAACTCAAGATAAGAGTATATAAATCAGATAAACTGTTCATTGTACATGGGTCCCTGCAACTTGTATGAGTTTCATAACAGAGACATAAGATTGTCAAAATAAGTCATATATGTCACGATTTGTATCGCGTGAGCATCCTGCAAGTTACGTAATCTCGCAAGAAGTATGATCTTCAATAGTGATTTAAGCATATAAAGATTCAATATATGATAGCCTATCAGGCCTTTGTCATAATTCTTCCATTGTAACAGGACTAAGATGATTCATAAAAATGATTCATAAGCCTAGGATGTGTTCGGACTAGACTTTGTTAATATCATATACATCGGCCTAATGTTTTTATGGTTGGCCTCATTTTTGCGCGGTACCCACTGATAATCTGGCTGTGTTTCCAGAATTAGTTCAAATTTCACCTGAGATGTATCTTGGTTCCTCCTTCTAGGGTACTGTAAGCATGATTGACATAATTGTCACCATAGGAATCAATCATATCCAAATTATCTCTTACTAAGTAAGCTATGTAGTTGGTCATGTTGCCTTAGAGAACTATTAATCTGAGATAGAAAAATGCATCGCGCGTTCTAATTGCAATAGCCAAAATTACATCCCACAGGAAAGTGTAGGATTTTCATAGTCCAAATGAATATGTGCACGGGATAACTACTCTATTTAAGATAAATATTTTAGCCCACAAACTACAGTCCTCAATAGCTTAGGCTAACTATGGACAAAAACCAAAAGTTGAGCCAAGGAAACTAGGTAGTTGGTCATGTTGGTAGCTATGTCCTCTACTCACAGCTATATCTTCAGCGTCAGTAGCTACAGTTATTAGCTATATTCTTATATCTTGGACCGACATGAACATATTCAACTCAATCAATATGATAAACTTAACATGACAAAGGATTGTGGATTTAAACCTCACTGCACTATGTAGACTTAACATCTCACGCAATATGTACTTTGTGCGTAAGGATTGTGCATTGATGGAACTATATTGGAGTCACATGACAAGGGCTGATGCGCATCCCGTAGCAAATGATATTCCTATATGTTGGTTAGGACCGCAACCAACATTGTTCCGGATGGCTTAACCACATCCGAAGCCCAAAGGCCTTGTAACGTAGATGGCCCAGTTTCACAGAGCCCAAAACAGCCTAAGCCCAGTACCCCAAGTTACATACACGTCAGCCCTACCGGTTGGCCCTAGATGCATGCCCCAATGCAGCTCGCCCCCAAGGTAAGACACCAAAATGTCTTACCTTGGAACCCCATATGCTCTGCAGGTCGCCCAGAGACCATAAGTGGAAATCGCCCTGCTGCCGCATGCTGACATCGCCCGAGAGCAGACTCAGCATCGCAGCAGCGCCTGGCGTGTCAGCCCCTCATAACGAATCCCAAGGAGCGTTGACCTCTTATACGTAAGCCCTAACGGATCAGACCCCTGGACTCCTATAAATACCACCCTTGGGCACAAGGAAGAAGGACCTTTTATGTACTGTTATTATGCCCATTTACTTCTGAATTATACTCTTACTATTTGTCTGTCATTAATATTAGCTTGCTACCCCTTGGAATATTACCTTCTAGCCTGGTCTTTACCTCAGCTAGAGGTATAATCCATATAGTGACATTACCCTCAAGGGTACATAGTGGGCTCATAGTACCGAACGGTACATTGGCGCCGTCTGTGGGAAACTATAAACTTCTATTCTCATTCTCCTACCACTAAATACGCAAGACACTTACCATTTGCAGACCAACATGGTAGTCACAACAAGACGAGCAGAACAAGTGCGGGCAGTCACTCCGGAAGGACACGTGCGAACTGTGCGCTCCAACTCCCCTCCTTCTATGCACTCAATCCCAGCTGGGCGAGAAGCTGCAGAAGCTCTGCCTCCGGTGCTACAACCTGCAGACCCCCAGGCACCAGCGGAAGGTCTCAGAGCAACATTCCCGAATCATCAAGTCCCAATACAAGAAATGCAAGGAGAAAACTGGTTTGAAAACCAACCCCCACCCCTGGTGTCCAATTTGGAATGCTTTTCCCTACCACCCATCGTGTCCAACCGGCGCAAAGCCAACCCGTAGCACTATATAATGACCATCGAGTCCCAACATACCATCCCAGACCTTGTATGAATAATGTGGCCGCTCCTTTCCCCCCACCTTTTTCCAAATGGTTACCCGTTTCAAGGATATCCTTTCCACCCTCATAACGCGTCCATCCCCCAACCACAGGGATCGGTCGTGAACCTTGGCCAACCCCGTTTTGAAGCCCGCCAAGCCCCAGCTATCTCGTACTCAGTCGAGGCGCCTCAGGATTGCGTGAAGGAGCGTTCGCCTACGAGCTTGCTCGTCATAAGATTTTGGATCTTGAGGAAGTCAAGCGTAAAGCTCAAGAGTTTATGCGAATCGAAGAGTACAAAGGAAGTCGAGCAAGCGACAGTCACTGCCAAGGAAACAGAGAGTTGAAAAATAGTGACCATGCAGAGGAACGTAGAAAGAGTCGCAAACCCGCCAAGTATGTCAGTCGCCAACAAGGGCGAGATATGGTTGGACGTCATACACATAGCGTCCTTCAGACCGAGTACAAGGAGGAACGCAAAGACAACCCAAGGCGTCAGGGGCAATCACGGGAAAATGTTGTATACTGCAAATTCCACCGCAGTAACGGCTATAGTACCGAGGAGTGCAGACATCTGAAGGATGAAATCGATGAGATCATTAACAGTAGAGGTCAAAGAAACACGGGAAGCAACGCCCGAATCCCAGGAAACAACAGGCGGTATCGAGAGCGTAGTTGGTCACCAGATCGAAGAAGGAGCACCCAGCCCAGGTATCAAACTCGTCGCGGGCGGGATCGCAGGGAAAGGTCTCCCCCAATCCGTAAGGCGCATGACGACCAGAGCAGTAGAGAAAGGCGTGACGGAGGAGACGAAGATTCAGCAGCCATTAAACATGGAGTGATAAATATGATCTCTGGAGGGCTGGGTGGCGGTGGAGTAACAGTTAATTCCCGAAAGAGACACTTGAAGCAGTGTCTAGCAGTGGCAGGAAAGACCATTAGCAAAACGAGCACAGATGCAGGTCAGGCCAAACCCAAAATCGTCTGGGACTTCAACGATTTGGACGATATCCTACCTGGCCATGACGACCCCTTGGTCATCCACGCAATCATTGCCAACTGGAGCGTCAACCGCGTATTTGTGGATCATGGCAGTTCTGCTGACATTTTGTTTTTGCCTTGTCTTAAAGCTTTGGGTTTTACTGTCAATGACTTAACACCAGTGGCAGGTGAACTTACAGGGTTTAACGGCACAACCACCAAACCTTTGGGGTTGATAAACCTACGATTATCTCTGGGAACGCCACCTACCTCAAAATGAGCCGACATTCAATTCCTGGTGCTGTATACCCAATCAGCTTACAACGTAATTCTCGGCAGGCGAATGTTCGCCGCTTTCGAAGCAAGTGTGTCGCACCCGCACTTGGCAATAAAGTTTGTGGCAAGAGACAACAAGGTGGCGACGGTAAGAGGCGATCAAACGGTAGCAAGGAGCTGCTACAGCATATTCATGAAACCAGCACCAAAAGTCACTTTGAAAGCCCAGCCAGCACCCCATATGGCGACAACCCAGGTAACAACTGATGCCCTCACTGGAAAGGGTAAAGAACTTGACCAGTGTCTTCTTGTAGAATTTGATGCACGGGACGACCCTCGGATGGAGCATTCCAGGCCCACACCAGACGGAGCTCTAGAGCACGTAGTTCTGGGCGAGAAGGACCAAACCACAACCATTGGGGCGTTCACCAACCCAGAGCTGAAAAGCAGGTTGATCAAACTCCTACGAGACAACAAGGACCTGTTCGCGTGGAAGCCATCTGACATGCCCAACATAGACCCGGAAGTATGTTGCCACAGATTGTCAGTAGACCCCAAAGCAAAGCCCGTTTCGCAGAAGAAGAGGAAGTTTGGCCCAGATCGCCAAAGGATTATTGACGAAGAGGTAAAGAGACTCTGGGATGCCGGTTTCATCCGAGAAATTAAGTACACTACATGGCTCTCAAACCCCGTACTAGTCAAAAAACCTAGTGGGGCGTGGAGAATGTGCATTGATTATACCGACCTCAACAAGATGTGCCCAAAGGATGCCTATCATTTCCCAAGCATTGACCAGCTCGTTGATAACTCCTCAGGATTCAAAGTGCTTTCATTCATGGATGCATACTCAGGCTATAATCAGATCCCATTGCTAAAAGAAGACCAGGACAAAACGGCGTTCGTCACACAGACTGCTAATTACTGTTACACCATGATGCCGTTCGGATTGAAAAACGCAGGTGCCACTTACCAACGAAAGATGAATGAAGTCTTCAAAGACTTGATTGGTGACAACATTGAGGTCTATATAGACGATATGATCGCTAAGTCACAAACTCCAGAACAGCACTTGACACATCTCCAAGGCGTGTTCAATAGGTTGAGAAAATACAACATGCGGCTCAACCCAAGCAAATGCGCCTTCGGAGTTCCAGCAGGGAAGTTCCTAGGCTTTATGCTGACTGAAAGAGGTATTGAAGTTAATCCTGACAAATGCAAGGCGGTCATTGAGATGAGAAGTCCCCAGACGGTTAAAGAAGTGCAGCAGTTGACCGGAAGGATAGTCGCACTCACTCGTTTCTTAGCAAATTCTGCCTATAAGTCCCTTCCATTGTTTAGCCTGATCAAGAAGGGCTGCTCTTTTTAATGGACTGATGATTGTGAGAAAGCTTTCCAAGAATTCAAAAGAGCGCTGTCATGCCCACCTGTCTTAACAAAGACAGACATTGGAGAGATCCTTTATTTATATCTCGCCGTTGGTGTAGAAGCCATCAGTGCCGCCTTGGTCAGAGAACAGAACGGAGAAGCACAGAAACTAGTGTATTTCATCAGCAAAGTCCTGCAGGGCGCAGAGCTCAGGTATCAGCAGGTTGAAAAGGTTATTCTCACACTCATCTTTGCTGCGAGAAGACTTAGGCCATACTTCCAATGTCACCCAATCACGGTTAGAACCAATCAACCCATCCGCCAAGTATTACAAAAGCCTGATCTGGCGGGCCGGATGATGTCTTGGGCGATTGAACTGTCAGAATACCAAATTAATTATGAACCAAGAACAGCCATCAAAGCACAAGCCCTCACAGATTTCATTGCTGAGATGACCCATACCCCTGCAAGCGACAATCAGTTGGGGGAAACCCCGGCGACGTGGAAGCTGTTCGTGGATGGTTCAACCAACGCCAAAGGGTCAGGAGCTGGGTTGATCGTGGAAAATCCTGATGGTGTGGCGATGGAGCATTCTTTGACCTTCGACTTCAGTACGACTAATAATCAAGCAGAGTATGAGGCTTTGATAGCCGGTTTACTTCAAGCCAGAGAACTGGGAGCCCAACATCTCAAGGTTTTTAGTGACTCACAGCTGGTGACATGTAAAATTTCCGGCGAATATCAAGCAAAAGGTCCCCTGATGTGCAAATACTTAGAAAGAGTCAAAGATATAATGGAGACATTCATGACAGTCAAGGTGGAGCACATTAGGCGGGGAGAGAACACCTGGGCCGACATACTCGCCAAATTGGCCAGTACCAAGAGTCCAGGTAATAACCGTTCGGTCATCCAGCATAACCTACAAACGCCATGCGTTGTAATGAGTATTACGGGAGAAACAGATGAAATCACAGCTGACACCTGGATCACTCCAATCGTTAACTACCTTTCAGAAGGTACCCTCCCGCCAGACGTGAAAGAAGCGAAGAAGATCGCCAGAAGGAGTGCTCACTTCTGCCTGATGAATGACCGGTTATATAAGAGAGGTTTCTCAACCCCACTGTTGAAATGTTTGAACCCAGGAGACGTGGGGTATGTGTTGGAGGAAATCCACGAAGGAATTAACGGCCACCACATAGGTGGACATTCTCTAGCAAGGAAAGCGCTGAGAGCTGGATTCTACTGGCCGACCATGGAGCGAGACACTTATAACCACGTCAAGAAGTGCGATAAGTGCCAACGTTTCGCGGACGTACATAGAGCCCCACCAGAGGAGTTGACCTCGATAACATCGCCTTGGCCTTTTCATAAATGGGGAATGGACATTCTTGGACCTTTCCCAAAAGCCACGGGGCGTATACAGTGGCTAATCGTTGCCACAAACTACTTCACCAAGTGGGTAGAAGCTGAGGCAGTCGCCACCATCACTTCTCAGAATGTCAGGAAGTTTTTTTGGAGAAACGTTGTCTATCGTTTTGGCATCCCGGGAGAGGTTATTACAGATAATGGCACCCAGTTTACCGATTCTAAGTTCAGAGAATTGATGACGAACCTTCAAATTCGGCACCACTTTGCAGACGTAGAACATCCTCAATCTAATGGGTTAGTCGAGTCAGCTAACAAGATGCTGTCCAAAGGAATAAAAAAGAAGTTAACCTCCCATAAAGGAGCCTGGCTTGAGAACCTCCATGGCGTGTTGTGGGGATATCGGACAACTGCCCAATCCAGTACGAGAGAGACCCCTTTCCGTCTGACTTATGGTTCAGAGGCTATGATACCAGTCGAGATCGGTGAACCTTCTTGGAGAAAGGATCAAGTAACAGAGGTAACCAACAGTCAAGGTCTCAAAGAAACACTTGACTTAATCGAAGAAATCCGAGAACGGGCAGCGCAATCTGATCGCCAGTCGAAAGAAAGGTCAGCCAGCCGGTACAATAGAAGGGTCATCCTCAGGAAGTTTCAAACTTCTGACCTCGTTCTCAGGCAAGCCGACGTAGGAAACAAGAACGCTCAAGACGGAAAGCTCGCTCCGAATTGGGAAGGGCCAAATCGAATAGCAAAGGTTTTGGGCGGCGGGTCATACGCCTTAGAAACGTTAGGCGGGAAAGCCATTCCAAGGGCTTGGAATGCAGACAAACTCACTAAATATTATAGCTGAGTCATAATGTAACAGTCACACTGCACTCTTTTCCTCTCCAAAGTTTTAGCCTATTAGGTTTTTGGGCGATGAGAGGTTTTTAATGAGGCAGGTAGCCTGTGTTTAATAAAATGACAGTTCGTCACCTCCCAATTCGTTTGTTACTCCACTTGTTTGTTTGAAGTTTTAAAGCATAAAAGTCGCGGGACGGTCCTCACCCCCGCCCAAGAGTTGGACTGGGACGGTCCTCACCCCCATCCAACATACAAGTCGCGGGATGGTCCTCACCCCCGCCCAAGAGTTGGACTGGGACGGTCCTCACCCCCATCCAATATACAAGTCGCGGGATGGTCCTCACCCCCGCCCAAGAGTTGGACTGGGACGGTCCTCACCCCCATCCAACATACAAGTCGCGGGATGGTCCTCACCCCCGCCCAAGAGTTGGACTGGGACGGTCCTCACCCCCATCCAACATACAAGTCGCGGGATGGTCCTCACCCCCGCCCAAGAGTTGGACTGGGACGGTCCTCACCCCCATCCAACATACAAGTCGCGGGATGGTCCTCACCCCCGCCCAAGAGTTGGACTGCATCCAATATACAAGCCGTGGGATGGTCCTCACCCCCGCCCAAGAGTTGGACTGGGACGGTCCTCACCTCCATCCAACATACAAGCCGCGGGATGGTCCTCACCCCCGCCCAAGAGTTGGACTGGGACGGTCCTCACCTCCATCCAACATACAAGTCGCGGGATGGTCCTCACCCCCGCCCAAGAGTTGGACTGGGACGGTCCTCGCCCCCATCCAACATACAAGTCGCGGGATGATCCTCACCCCCGCCCAAGAGTTGGACTGAGACGGTCCTCGCCCCCATCCAACATACAAGTCGCAGGATGATCCTCACCCCCGCCCAAGAGTTGGACTGGGACGGTCCTCGCCCCCATCCAACATACAAGTCGCGGGATGATCCTCACCCCCGCCCAAGAGTTGGACTGGGACGGTCCTCACCCCCATCCAACATACAAATCGTGAGACGGTTCTCACCCCCGCCACGAGTGGGCGGGGACGGTCCTAATCTCCGTTCGAGGCACGCTTAATTAAAAATGAGGGGTCAACAGACGAACAGAAGAAAACAACTAGAATCAATTAATTATCAAGCGTTAAACAACATAGTTGAGATGGGTTACAGACAACGTTTAAACAATGGGTTACAGATAATTCTTAAGCTACATCCTTAGTATTTAC